GGAATTAAAAGTGCAACCATTTAGCTGCCATATAGCAAACAAACAGCTGGTCATTTTTGGTTAAAGTTTTTTTATATATAATAAAAAAAAAGTTTTTTTTATTATATAAAACCTGGAAAAAAAAATATGAACAATGATTTGTTTACAATGTTTATGATTAAATACAATTCCAGTGAATAATAATTTAAATCCGAAAATATGTTTTATCTGTGTTAGCCCTTTTTTTTAAAAAACAACATACAGCACTGAAAATTATTGCCGATAATATGAATTTTGTTCCGTAGCAGGGAGCCGTTTCTTTTTACTATCCCAATAATAACATTTTTATGTACAATATTTTTTTTTATTTGATTTTCTACTCTGTGATGTAAAACGTTTATCATTTGCATTATCGCAACCTGTTTTTTTTTTTATTCCAAAGGCTGTGCCATGTATACTGTGTCAAGACCATAAAATGATAAGATTGAGAGAATCTGCTCTTTATTTTAATTGATTTGATATATAACCAAACTGAGGGGGGAAAAAAAAAAAGATGGTTTTATTATACGTTAGCTTAAAAAAATTTAGGAAAACCGAATGATGGTGATTTTTGAAAAATAAAAAAAGATGAAAAAATGTTTGCGCTAAAATGTGCCAAACGTGCAAAAGGGTTAAAGAAAGAAATACTTCTGTTTAGTAATCCACCTCCATTTCACACGTCTCCGCCAAACCTCATTTCACCTGTGGATGAATTCGGAGCTCCGAGTTGTTAAGAAAACATTTTTAGATTTGCAAGCGGGAGGGAAAATAATGTTAAGTTTGTATATATTTATTTATGCTTAATTTAACAGGAGTTTGTATATATGGCGAGTAAGTACTTATTTATATGTGAGTCTGTTACTCTGTGGATGGGTGGTTAACGCTTGAACTTAGGTAGTCTCTGAATTTTTTTCTTTTTAATTTTACTTTACTTTATTTTTTAAATTTTTTGGGTTCCTTAAAAGAAAAAAAAAAAAAGTATAGCGATGAATAGAAAAAAAAATTTGATTCTTGTCCAGTGATGATCTGATTTACATTAATAAAACATTGTTGTGTTTTTGTTGTATCTCTTAGCTTCCTGTGTATTATTATTTTAGTCCTTTTCACAGTAGGATTATTTTATGAGCAATGGTGGGAAGGTTTTGTCCATCGTAATCGATCAGATTCACAGCCTCATGCTGCTTTGTTAGTAGGGAAGGACTGCAAGGGTGCTGAAGGATTTAAAGGCCAACATTAGCTTTTGATAGAGTGGTGTAGACAGAGCCGTCTCTTTAATGAGGCAGCCTGAGGCTGTTGCCTCAGGTGGCATCTCTTTGGGTCATGTGGGGGGCGGGGGTGGCAGGCATCGCCACGGCATTGCTGCACCATGTCTGCACTTTGTCTGCCAGCCCCTTTTCAGGCTAGAATGTCCCAAGTTGCTAAGAGCTAGGTGGGGAGATGCAGAGCCTGCAGAGGGTGGCATCACTCTCATGTCTGGCGGCGCTGTTTCCTCTACTCACCGCCTGCTGCACTGATTGTGTGGACCACCAGCACCCCCCACTGATGGCATGCACCACCAGCACACCCCCATCGATTGCGTGCACCACCAGCACACCCCCATCGATCATATTCGTCATGACATTGTTTCGATAAGCTTATACAATGTCACAACATTTATTTCCATCCAGAGTTGCATTCATTTTCCACCAAGATCTTGTAGTGATGGTGGGAGAGTCGGACCTCTGTGTAAAGTCTTCTCCAGCACATCCCAAACATTCTCAATGGGGTTAAGGTCTGGACTCTGTGGTGGCCAATCCATGTGTGGCAATAATGTCTCACGCTCCCTGAACCACTCTTTCCCGATCTGAGCCCGATGAATCCCGGCATTGTCATCTTGGAATATGCCCAATGTGCCATCGGGGAAGGAAAAATCCATTGATGGAAAAACCTGACCAACTGAAGCCACCACAGATCATAACACTTATCCAATGGAAGGCTCTGACCTATTTGCTTAGCTAAATCCATGTAGTGAATTTTTTTTGGACAGGTATATGTAAATATATTTCTGTACATCCTAAAAATTTCTAAAAATATGAATCCCCAGGTTGCAACAGTGATGTCAGTTGATCTGGATGACATTTACGTTCACTGTGCAAGCATCTAATTCTCAAGTGAACGCAATATCTTCCAAATCTTTAGCATTCGAAGACCTGTGAAAAAGTTGTCACTGTGCTAATGTATACCCTCGTTAATCCATTTTAATCCTTTTTTATTGTTACACTAGCAATTTACACAAAATGTTGTTTGTTTTTTTTTTTTACATTGAAATATAGGGTGGAAAGGAGAATAAAGCTCCCCTTTGAGCTTTACCATTCCACTATGATAATGTGATATCATTTTAATAAGCTGACTTTGTTGATTGTATTTTGCAGTATATATACCGCAAAATACAATACCAAATACAATAATTTAAAAATAGTCCCATTGTAGTAAAGATCAGTGGCGTAACAATCACCATAGCGACCCAGGCGGCCGCTATGGGGCCCGGGGCACAGGGGGGCCCGGCCAGATGCCGAGCGGATCGTCTGGGTCGCTATGGCATCCTCTGCTGGTGGCTTTCACTGGCGGCTTTGAAGAAGAATGCACTGCTGTTCAGATCACTGACCGTAATCTGTGCAGCAGTGTGTTCATCTCCAGAGCCGCTGCTGAGTCAATGAGAGTCAGCAGCGGCGGTGGAGGAGGCCGGACCCGGCAGGGGAGGAGGAGGCGGGGCCCACCCCTGCCCTAAAGCAATTATTTGTACCACACAGAATGTATGGGAAAAATGAA